GAAACTACTCTATGATACTGTAATGTTGGAGACACGTCATTATATATTACAACATTAAGAGTGAACCCTAATGTAAACTGTGGACTTTGGGTGATTGTGATGTGTTGATGTGGGCTCATCAGTTGTAATAAATGTACCACTCTGGTGAAGGGTGTTGATAACGGAAGAGCCTGTGCATGTGTGGTGGGAGGTGGTATGTGGGAAATCTGTATATCTTCCTCACAGTTTTGTTGTGAACTTAAAACTGCTTTGAGAAATAAGTCTATTTAAATAATAATAAAAGAGTGTATTACTTATATAATTAAAGTTAATGCTTTAGAAAATGTAGATAACCAAGAAAGCCATATCAAGAGCAACAAAAACTAAAATACAAGTAAAACTTATAAAAATATGTAAGAGCATTATAGAAAACTAGAGGCCCAGTGGGGGTCCCTTGGCCTGGCCTGTGGGGATTGGGCCGAAACCTGAGGGGTCCCGGATTGCGAGAGGGTGGTTCTGGGGTGATGCACCCCGGAATCGGGCTCTTTCCTTTCTAGTTCCAGGTGCATCACCCAAGAACTGCAGCTGCTAAGTCACTGCAGCTTGTCATCTCGTGTTGAGCGTCCGCCCCCTGGTGGTCAGTGCACATCATAGCTACTGGTCAGACGGTCGCTTAGGCTTTTATATATATAGATTATAAAACTTAAAAGGTCAGTCATAAGTGAAAATCTAAATAGATGGGAAATAATTTCATGCTTGTGTAAAAAAAGATTGCAAGCTACTTTAATATAATTTTCATGATCAAAGTCCTGATAGGACTTTTGGGAGAAACTTGTAAAGTTTATTGTAAAGAGTAAATGTGCAAGAAGCAGCAAGATGTTTTTAAAAAGAAATGAGAATAATGATAGGAGCTTAGCCTACCAGGTATCAAAATGCAGCAAAAAGCTAATTTTAATTAAATGGCGGTAGTGGTGTAGAGAAGACCAAATTAGAGTATTCGGTGTCAACAGTTGTTTATGCCTTATTTTGTGAGTTCTAAGACATGGTTTTTCAAATTTTAACATATATATATATGTTATATGTATATATATTTATATAACGACTGTAACGACCTGTCGCTATAACGTCCGCTGTGGCCAGCAAACCGGCCTGATCAGGGGGTGGGGCTGGTGGGTAACCTCCCACAGCCCCTCCCCCCGACTTCCCCACCCCTGATTGGACTCTCCCACCCCATCAAGGGCAGGGCCAGCAGCCAAACGCCGCCCCTGCCTTTCTCCCCACCAGCCCTGCCCACGATAGGCCCACCCCACCATGATAGGCCCGCAGCCCCTCCCCCCACCTGGCCACACCTCTGATTGCACCCCCAACCCCAATAGGGGGCAGGGTCGGCCAGCCAACCTTCCGCAGCCCCTCCCCCCAATTGGCCCTGCTCCTGATGGGCTCCCACCACCCAGATAGGCCTGCAGCACCTCCCCCTGGCTGGCCCTGCCCCTGATCGTCCCCCCCATCCCAATAGGGGCTGGGGACAGCCGGCCAACCTCCCGAAGGTCCTCCCCCCAGATCGGCCCCCTACCCTGATCAGGGCCAGTCAGCTAACCTCCCGCCATCTCCTCCTCCCCACAGGCTCAACCCCAATCCTCCTGATTGGGGCCGGCTGGCCGGACCCCACCTGTGCAAGAATTCGTGCACTGGGCCTCTAATCTTTGATAACAGGATTCATTATACAATTAATGTAAACTATGAAGCATGCCATCAGGTTTTCTTCTCTCTTTGTAAAAGATGCATAATGGGACATCTTAAAATCTGTGACATCATAGATTGAATGAAATCAAGTCTATATATATACACTAGAGGCCCAGTGCACAAAAATTTGAGCACTGGGGGGGGGGGGGGGGGTCCCTCAGCCCGGCCTGTGCCCTCTTGCAGTCTGGGACCCCTCGGGGAATGTACACCTGCTGGCTTAGGCCCACTTCCTGGGGGATCGAGCCTAAGCTGGCAGACATTCCTCTGGCAGCCCGGGAGCCCTCGGGGGATGTCCACTTGCCAGTGGGGAGCAGGCCTAAGCTGTAGTCGGACATCCTTAGAGCTGCTGAGGAGGCGGGAAAGGCTCCCATCACCACCGCTGTGCTGGCAGCTGGCAGCCGGGCTTGTGGCTGAGCAGAGCTCCCACTGTGGGAGCACACTGACCACCACGGGGCAGCTCCTGCATTGAGCTTCTGCCCCCTAGTGGTCAGTGTGTGTCATAGTGACCAGTCATTCCCAGTCGTTCTGCTGTTTGGGTCAGTTTGCATATTACCCTTTTATTTTATAGGATAAAGGCCTGGTGCACGGGTGGGGGCCGGCTGGTTTGCCCTGAAGGGTGTCCCAGATCAGGGTGGGGGTCCCGCTGGGGTTCCTGGCCAGCCTGGGTGAGGGGCTGAGGGCCGTTTTCAGGCTGGCCACAGCCCCTTCAGGGTGGGGGTCCCCACTGGGGTGTCTGGCCAGCCTGGGTGAGGGGCTGATGGCTTTTCACAGGCTGGCCAAGCCCCCCAGCGGGGACCCTCACCCCATAGGGGTGTGGCCAGCCTGGGTGAGGGGATGAGAGCTGTTTTCAGGCTGGCCACACCCCCTTCAGAGTGGAGGTTATCGCTGGGGTGCCTGGCCAGCCTGGGTGAGTGGTTGATGGCTGTTTGTAGGCTGGCTACAATCCCTTCAGGGTCGGGGGTCCTGTTGGGGTGCCTGGCCAGCCTGGGTGAGGGGCTGAGGGCTGTTTTCAGGCTGCCCACAGCCCCTTCAGTGTGAGGGAGTCCTGCTGGGTTTCCTGGCCAGCCTGGGTGATGGGCTGATGGCTGTTTTCAGGTTGGCCACGCCCCCTGGCGACCCAAGCTCCCAGCCTCTCCTTTTTTTTTTTCTTTTTTCTTTTTTTTTGATCTGGGATTTATTTATCTTCTATAATTGAAACTTTGTAGCCTTGAGCGGAATCCATGTCTGGCTGGAAGCCTGGGTTGCCCCTAGCAACCCAGGTTCCCAGCCCCTCTTTGAGTGGAGGCCAGGGCAGGCTGGAAGCAGGTATCTGGGATTTATTTATCTTCTATAATTGAAACTTTGTAGCCTTGAGCGGAGCCCAGGGCCAGCCAGGGCAGGCGGGATGCTTGGCTTCCTCCATTGCCGGGGGCAACCCAAGCCTCCTGCTCGCTCCCGCTCCGTGGCCTCCGCCATCTTAGTTGTGTTAATTTTCATACTTGCTCCTGATTGGCTAGTGGGCATGGCTTGAGTGTAGCAGAGGGATGGTCAATTTGCATGTTTCTCTTTTATTATATAGGATACATACTTATATATGTATATACATATGTGTATATACATGCATACTTTATGAAATCAAATATACACATACACATTCAAACACTCACATGAAATGAAACCCAACTCAAAATTCCTCCAAGCTTTACAGTAAAGTCTCATATGTAGCCATGATGTTTGTCTTTCTTGGTCATTTTTTTTTTTAACTGATTGCTTTAACAGTATAGTGAAAATGTATTGCATAGTAAAGTTATAAATGTTGAAAAATTTGCAATCTATGATAGAGATGTTGGAGAACTATTTAATTCATCCTCAAGACATTGACAAATAAGAATCTTATTTTATTTTTTCAAGCTGAACTCTATCAGGATTTCTTTTTCACCAGTTACTGTGAAAGTTTGGTCTTCTTTTCAGGTGTATTTACTTAAAGTGGCCCATGTGTAATACCAGTTACCCTCAGAAAGGAAAGATTACTTATATGTTGTGCAGGTGGCATTTCAACAGAAAGTATAGTATTTTAAAAACTAATGAGTAATGACTCACCTTGGTGGGCAAAATAGTTACATTTCTGTCTCACAAATGTAAATTCCAGGTAGATTAAATTTCTAAACATGAAAAAAATTTCAGAGTATAGGAAAATAATTTTTAGTAAGCACACGGTCTTAAAGGCATGCTTTCTCAATGGGAGTGATGTTGAGCCTAAAGGGGAATAAATTGGTTCAGAGGAAGTGAAAAAAATCTCAGCTATTACAAGGTTTCGGCTCTCTGAAGGGCCACCACAATACACATCAACCGATATGCAGTATGTTTGGTATTAAAATTTCATAGAGAAGGAGGCAATTAGGAAAAAAAGTCTAAAAAGGCTCCTTAATAGGGTTGATAATGAAAAAACATTTGAGAAACACTGCAATAGAGAAAAAGTGACAGATTCTACAAAAACATATATGTTAAACTTTTCAATTATGAAAGACACCACAAACACAATGAAAAGGCAAGTGACAGATTGGGAGAAGAGAGTTTACAACTTATGTAATGGACAGAGGAGTATAATTTTTAACGTATTAGAGTTCCTACAACTTGTTAACAGAAACAAGAGGAACATGGGCAAAGGGCATGGAGTTGGTATTTGATTTATTTACTACAGGGACTCCACTCGCAGTTTGTTTGGTGTTTGTTAGAGGTGAATGGCCATCTGTATTTTAAAGGGAATTACACAAAGCACCTTTTGGGGGCCGCTTCAGTTTTAGACATTTTAAACGTTTGGAGGTATGTCGTCACAGTTGAAATAAATCATGTGGCATGGAAAAATCCACTTAGTTTTTTTTTATTATGCCTGTTTCTAATTTTCTGAATGAAGTACATTATTGACTAGCAGTTTTTGGTTTTAAGAATATGGGAGTGCATTGTATTTGCAGTCACACCAAAATATTTTTGTCCTAACAGGATGATTTTAGCTATTTTATGTGTGTTTATTTCAAAGAAGTTATAGAAATTCTTATGGTGAGATATTTAGAATAGTTACTCAAATACATTGTTTTATGTCAATGGGTATTAAATAAGTAGCCTAAATATTTACATGTTAAACATGCTAAACTAAATATTAAATATTAATGTTTTTGTTACTTTGAAAGTTAATCAGAATTACTAATGTGTCTCATAACTGCAGTTAAATACATCTATTTGGTCCCTTTCCATGAATTTTATTTTATTCATTTATTTGTTTTCCTCTGGCTTTTTATCAGCAACCCAGTGGGGAGAAGATGGCCGTCCATTTCATTATCTCTTTTATACTGGCAAGCAGTCATACTACTCATTAATGCATGTAAGTATATTACATTTACGATAAATAATAGGAACTGTAAGCTAAGTAACTGATTATACCAGAGATTTTGCTAAGCTTCACGGTGTACCTAGAATGGTTCATAATCGACAAAAATAAGACTTTTAGAGGTAAGACAGTATGTTAAAAGCTTTATATTTTATTCATTTTTCTAAAGGTAAACATTATAGAATTTATAACAGAGTGGTTTGTCTTTCAAATGCTTTTACTGATAGGAGATAGATGCTCCCTTAGCCATAGTGCGTGTATGTGCAGTGCAGTCCAGGTAAAACGTGAGGCTGGGCAAGGCCGAGTCTGTGTGGATGTCTATGGAGTGTGGTGGGAGCTGCAAGGCACCTTGGGAGAGAGCCAGACAGTTAACTGTACTTGTTACTTAGGTACAGTTGTTGCTCCTCATAGACTTATGCAGTGTATGAGTCTAGCAAGACTAGAAAATAGACCCAAGAAATTATTTTATTACGTTGACTTCCACCTGCATTGGAGTATCCTGGAAGTTTCCTTTTCAGAGTCAAAGTGTGTGATAGTGCGTAAACTCAGGAATTCCCCAGAATAACTACTGGGGTGACCTGGATGCCAATATCCAGGTTTGAGCAACAGAACCCATTTCATTCTTAGAACATGTCAAGTTTTACTTTATTCACTGTATGACTTTTTAGAGTATTTATTGGGTCCCGTCCCCTCCTCCCCTACTTCCCCCATTGATTTCAGGTTGCTTGAATCCCATGCACACATTTCCTCTGCTCTTTAGGACTGAAACCCAAAGGACAAAATCCTCACTTGTCAGGTACATTTATTTCTTGGGGGAGAAAAAAAGAAAACCTTATTTTCATTTTTGTTGACCTTGGGCAAATGAGCTTCTTGCCCTGGCAGAAATGAAATGAATGATAAATGTGGAGTGTATCTTTGCTGAGTAATGGAGCTGAGGCGCAGGCGTTCCGCTGAGGTTGTCTCTGCACAGCCCGAGGCTGCCCGAGGACCCCTGCTGTTCATTTAAATAGGTATGTCAAATCTGCCTGCAGACGCCGCTGGTTTGATCTGTGGTAATATTTGTGAAGGTTCCATATGGACTTAAGCCCCCTGCAGTGCTAAGAAATAATGTACAACGCTTCATGGTGCAGACGCAAATTTCCTCTGAAAAGGGATGCAGTGCTGCGTTTTAGCTGTCGGAGGGGATGATGGAGCTGACGCGCTAGGCCTGTCAACTTGTTACACGGATGGGTTGCACGCAGCGAAGCTGTGGAAAATCTGTGCCTTTTAACTTTTCTACTTAATCACGGCTGTAGCATTGCCTTTAGACTGTATGCTACATTAATTCCCTTCCTGCCTCCTGCCTTTCATCCCAAGTTTCACGGGAGAAAGTAAAGCATGCAGGTCTTGTGCAGGCGCCTTATCAAACAGCTGTCAGCCCACAAGCCATTTGCATTTGTTTTGGCTGAAACTGAGCAACCCAAGGGCAAGATGTTTTGCTGCATTCCATCATAATGAAGAAATTACACATTGTAAGAGAGGCCTAACTTTATTTTTGTTTATGTCTTTTAAAAAGGTATTGCTCAAGAAACTGGTTAGTTTCTCAGTGAATAAAATAGCACACTCTGACTGAAAAGTCAAATTATATCTGATTACTAAACTTAATTTTTGAGTAATGTGGTTCCTGTTACATATAGGAGAGTTCTTTGGCTTTTATATTTCAGTTAAATTCTGTAATTTAATTTAGGTCAGTTTGTTTTTTTGGGTGTTTTGAACTTCCCAAACTGTATGGGGTTTAGGTTTGGTTTAATGCTGATCAGAACAGTTTACAGATAGGAATTACAGATATTTGGGGTTAACTTGAGCATTTTAATTTTAATTCAAATTATCATAAAACCTTGTATTTTCAACAATGTGTTTTATGGAATTTTAAAGTAATTATATGTATGGGGAAAAGGATAAATGTTTTCCTAAATGTATGCCCATCACTTTAGCATCATCTGTGGCACTTGTTATTAATTACAGTTCTAGTCACACCAGTCTCGTTTCCAAGATCATGCAGACCAACATCATCTCAGATTCGGTTTGCTGCTTTAAATAGCATGTGACTCAGTGCTTGCTGGTGGGCTTACAGGACTGGTGGGCTTACTGCACATAAAGTAAAACAATGTAAATGGAAATTGCTTCACGTGTTTGCTCTCTCCTTTGTTCTGCCCTCTCTTGGTGGTGGGGCTGCTGTTCCATTCTCTGTTATGTGAGTCCACTCCTGCCCTCTGCTGCAGCAAGGGGGTAGGCCCCAGAGCCTATGGGCGTTAAGCACTTGGAAATGAATGATTGTTGGTTGTTTCCATTTCTTTTTGTTGATGCAATTGCTTTTCATGTGACGATGTAAAAGATACTGAGCCATATCAGTTTTCCCAATTGAAGCATGGCAGTCATCGGCCAAGCTTTCTGACACAAAGACACAGGCCTAGAGCATGTGTGCAGTTCTAAAAGGAGACCTTTCTGGTGCCATTTAACCATCCTGTCCTCTGTGCCAGTCTTCCTTTTAGTATTTAGTCCCTGCTTGCATGTTAAGCCTATATATTACATTATAGCAACTAATAGAAGGGAGTCCTGATACAGCTTACAGTTAAGGATATATAATGCTTTGGTGAACACTGTCCAGTTGGCCTATAATTGGACCATCTAATTTTTGTGGAGAAGCAGGGAGATTTTTGAGGGAGGATGAAGATGAAAAGCAAGAAGCAATTTATTGTTCCATTGAAATGAAGTATAGGAAAGAATAAAGTGATGGAAAGTTTGCTGATCCATCGGGTCTCTGACTTGTGTGTTACTTTCTGAAGGTTCGTTAGCAGGTGAGTTAGAACTGCATTTTCCTATGGACAGTGATATACTGCTTCACATTCCTGGGAAAGTTGGTAACATGCCACTTATAATGTAGCGAATATGATGTCCATGTGTAGTGAAAAGAAGTATAAAACAGTGCTAGCAGCTGATTCCTTAAGCAATAAACCGTCCTTTAGGTAAGAAGAAGCAGGAGACTTCAAGAGTCTCTCGAAGGGTGGTGAGAACTGAAGAGGGAGCTCCAGCCCTGACGGCACTGCTCATCTGTCTTTTTCACCCAAATGGACGGCTTTCTGTTTCTTTCACAGCCACTTGCCAATAGAACTTGTATACTTTTTAGACGTGACTTAAGAGTTTCAGTTTAGGGTTTCAGGAGCAGAATGAAGAACTAGAGGAAGAAGAAAAGAAGTTTCCTAGAACAGCTGAGCAGAAGTGTAGAGGAAAGGGAAGACTTGTTGAAGAGGGATGTCTGTGCAATGTTATTAGGCCATTGAGCAACTGCGTTGTGAGTGGCTGGGGTCTAGGTGAGGGACCAGTAAGGGATAGGCCAGAAGGATGTGCTCTTTGGGTGCACCAGCCTGCCAGGGGTAGCCCTTGTCCGCAGCAGTTGCAGCCTGTCCGGGCCAACCGAGCCAGTGGTGAAGGGGACAGTGGGCTGCAATCCTGAGCAAGGCCACTATGGTTGAGTTTGACCTCAGGTCCTTAGATTTTCAGAAAAATGTTAATTCAGATTGACTCATTTTATTAATACATACATTTCTGAAATTTTTAAAATTCACTCACAAAACAATGAGTTGGAAATTATCTAAAACTCATTATAGGGGGTGATTATTTCACTCTGAAGTGGGAACCCGTTTGTAAAATATGATTCATTATGTCCCCATGTTTATATGCAGCTTTCCCAACGTGTTTTCTGAGGCACACAGGTTATAAAATAATCTCCAAGAAAGGGTCTCTGAAGTTAAGTTAGTGTGGGAAGGCGGCAGACTGAGAAACTAATAAGAAGATACTTATTAGTGTGAGCAGCTCTGTGAAGTCCTTCAGTGAAGAAACGTGTGGCGTTAACGCACTGCTGCTGAAACATGCTGGGTCCGGAGCCCGTTCTGCCCAGAACGCCTTTTAAAAATTCAGGGAAACTAGTGCTCGGGGAAGGCCGGAAAGCGTATTAAAACGCTAAGCTGTCAAGTGCAGTAAGAGTTCATTGAAATTTTACATGCGCTCCCCTCCCCAGTCTTTAAGGTAAGATTAGTCAGCTCTAAAAACTGCAGTGGGAATAATCATCTTATAGAAATCTCATTGATAGTTTAGGGCAAGTTTTACAGTAAACAATGGAGTATTTTCAAAGTATTTTTATAAATTGAAGGAATCACATGGTCACAGATGAAATTTTTACTCCAATAAAAGTATAAAATTAGGGAATACGTAGATCATTATATACTTAAACTACTCTGCTGAATTAAAAAAAAATCTGGAACAAAACCAAGTAATTCTAATTCCGATAACTTACGCATAATCAAGATTTGCTGCCTTTTGAAAGAAGGCTTTTTTAAAAATCCTCCAGTTTGTTTTAAGTGACTGGCGTGGCCTTCTGTGGTCGTGTGCAGGCGTGTGCAGAGCAGCCAGGAGCGGCGTGGGGCTCCTCGGGCGAAGACTCCAGACTCTGAAAGCCCTCTCCTGGGACCTGCAGTCACAGGCCTCACCTCCTTCACATCTTTGTAACCTTGCGATGAATATTGAAAGCTCTTGATGTTCTGCTTGTATCTGTAAAAATGGAATTAAAACAGGGAGCCTTCTCACCGTGAGGCGTTATGGAATGCCTACGCTATGCAAAGGGCTTGGTTTTAGAAAGCTACAGACGGATGCTGGCATTTCGTGGGCTCTTCTAAGACTTCTTGACAGCAGGCGTCAATTCAGGAATTAGCTCGGCAACAGAAACTGCTGTTCCTGAAGTACCTTTAATATGCATTAGAATAATTACCATTTTATATCTTGCATGTACTAAATGTAACGATTAAAAATTAAATTTTAAAAGCTGATTCAACTTATTGCCTCTGTGGTTTTAATCAGATTACTCTTATAATGGTATAATTGTTATTATAATATGTGGTGAAGCCTTACTTTGAATAGTAAAAGTATATGGTATGAGAGTTACAAGCTTTTTTATGTAATTACTCCTGTGTGTGCTTTCCCAAAGTACTTTTCTGTATGCCATGTATAAGAGTCTATTTCCCTTTTTATGTTGACTAGCACTGTGTGATGTGTAAACTACATAGCATATTGTTTTCACAGAGTGATGGCAAGAGCATACAAAAGAACTATGTTGCTTGGAACTTTAGATAAATAGCAGAAACTATGATAAATGAATTATATTTATATTTATCTCATTTGATTTTGTATATGCCAGTAGCCATAAAATCTAGAAAACTGTTATTTAGGAAATTGATTTTCTGTGATAAAAAACACAAATATATAATTTTAACTGTGTTGCTTTTTTGTTTGTGTCTAGTATCTAAGATAGTAATTATCAGTAGTATGTTAACTGGAAATAAGTTCGTCAAAATTCAGTTGACTTTTCCTATGCCATTCTCCCAAGAAACGTTATTTGTTTACCCTTCCTAAATTTGGAATTTCTACATGATTAATACAGCCAAATCAGGTTTTAGAAGACTAAAATCAGCTTTTTTTAGACCAAAAATCATACTGCTCAGGAGGGTTTAGTTTAAGCACTTCTTTCCTGAACCTGAGCATCTGGTATGTTCAAATTAGGCACCTTCTAAATTTGACTCATGCATTATGGAAATCTGATGGCACAAGGGTAGATAGGCTCACTTTGATTTTATGAAATATTAATCATAACTGTGATTAATGATTCAGCATTTCACATCTGGGTTATTCCTGTCATATTTTAAAAAGATACTATTAAATACAGTATACAAACTTAGTGTCATACTAATTCTCTAGTGTCCCTTAAAAATTAAGTGGAAATTTAACAGTATACCAAAAGCTACCAGTGATAATCTGTGATATTGACAGTTCCTGGCATATTTTATACCCTCAAGAATTTTTTTTATGTAAATTAGTACACATATCTTCAGGGAGTTGAGGCTATAGAGTCTACTTTCCAGAGAACTGTTGTTTCTAACCAAGATAGAATTTCAGGAATGGTTGTATTATGTAGAAAAAAAAGAAAAATAGAAATGGTGCACCAGGAAGATCATTTCTCCATTATTAGGCTCCCAGATGTCAAACGTCACCACTGCTGCCATTTCTTGCCCATTAGCATAGGTCAGGCACTGTGCTAACTAGTTTACATATATTGCCCTATTTGAAGAAGTACACGTTATGAGTATTATGTAATTTGACAGATTGCAGCCATCAAAGTGTTAACATTTGTCATAAATGAACAAAATTTACCGTGCTTGAAATTTGACATGAACTTTGTTATTTTTTCATATTTTTCTAATTATTTTACTTGCACTATTTATAAATTATTATGGAGCCAAGTGGAACACTGGATGGTAATGGCATAGTGAAAGAAAACAGTAAGAAAAATATGGACTTAAAGTAAAAATTGCTTAAAAGCCACCTGAAAATGATGATGAATTTAGCAGCCCAAACTTTGACTTGAAACTTTACTGTGAAGCAGTTCAGTTATTTTTATTTTCGTTGGCCTGGTTATTCCAGGAAATTAAATAGACCCTCACAAAAAGGGGAGAGTATCTTATTACTGTTGGTGGTGTTCTCTTGGATTTATGTTTCCTTAGCTAGATCTGAAAGACACAACATCTGTGACTTACCCCCTCAGAATCTTTTTTTCTTCTTTTTTTGTTAATCCTCACCCGAAGATATTTTTCCATTGATTTTTAGAGTGAGTGGAAGGGAGTGGGAGAGAGACTTCGATTGGTTGCCCTCCATACGTGTCCTGACCAGGGCCGGGGATTGAGCTTGCAACCAAGGTACATGCCCTTGACTGGAATCGAACCCCAGACCCTTCGGTTAACTGGCTGACTACGCTCCATCCACTGAGCCAAACCGGTTAGGCCTGCACTCAGAATCTTAACTAGCACCATCCTTTTACCAGTGTCCCCAAACATGGCAGTCTGGCTGGGGTCCGGCGCCCCGTGTGATGCTGTTTGTAGTGTCTGTCCACTTCAGACACTTTTGCTTTTATTTTACCTGTTCAGGGCACTTGAGAATTGCTTTCACAAAAAAAGTGCATAGAAGTTTTTCTGATATACTATTCAGTTAGGGTCACAACCCACTATTGATCCTTTAGAAATGAGTCAAAGGTTCCCTAACCACAGTCAAATGAGGCTTACCAGTGCGTGGGAGGCAGTTGTAAAATTTTAAGTTGAATAGCAGGGACATGTTTATCTGTGAAGGTTCACGTTAGGTTTTGCTTTCTTTAGTTGGACAGATGGTTCACATACGTTCTGCTGCTGCTACAGCTGATGGATTTGTACTTTGGCTGTGGTTGTAGAGATAGTTATCCTTAATAGGACACTAGAAGCAGATTAATTTACTTTGTCCTCTTGCTGTCGCATTGAACCCTGCTCTCGACAGGTCTAGTGTACAGATCCAAGCGTGACCACACATCTCTTGGGGGCATCATTAACATCGCTGGCCTTACCAGGTTCCTTTTCAGAAAGTCTGGTGAGGGGCCTGTGAAGTGACATTTCTTTTTTTTAATTATTTTGGTTAATCCTCACTTGAGGATATTTTTCCATTGATTTTTAGGGAGAGTGGAATAGAGGGAAAGACAGAGAGAAACACATCGATTGGTTGCCTCCTGTATGAGCCCCCACCAGGGCCCAGGACCCTTTGGTCTGCAGGCCAACGCTCTAACCATTAAGCAAACCAGCGAGGGCGAGAAGTTTCATTTCTAACCAGTCTTAGGCTTGGATGCTACTGCTGTCCTGACCTTTACAATTCCTGAACTAGTAGGTGTTTCACTCTGGAATACTCGTGTCCACCGTTAGAATCTGTAGCTCAGCCCGTGTCATAGCTTCAGACTGCTGCTTCTCTCCTTTCTGCTGCTTTTCTTGTCTCTCATGAGCTGTCAGTTCTGCTAGTCCTGCTGAAAACAGAACAAAAGCGCTCTGCTGAGTCTCCCCGGCCACGAGAAATGAACTTTTACATCCTTATCATGGGAAGTCTCAGCCCACAGAGTTAGCCTCGGCTTTTCTCACCTGTATTTGTGAAACTCAAAGGCTCTGTGTTTGCATTCCTCTCTTTTTTTTTAATTCTTTATTATTGAAAATGTTACATATGTCCCCTGTCCCCGCTACATTCTTTTTTCTTTTTTTAACATTTTTGTCCCCCATGAGAGAAATGGATTCCTGAAAATAGGTTCCTGAATTAATAATAAAATGAAAGCAGTGGTAAATACAAAGACAGTGGCAAAGGGATACTTCCTTTTAGAACAAACTAGCAGCATTGTGATATAACATGGCAGTATAATCAAAGCCCATAAGAAATTGCCCCTCAAATCTGAAATGATTAGTTAAGACTGTCTGTGATCTGGGTGAGCATCTCTATCAGCAACAAGCTGTCTTCCGACATTCGCTAATGACATTGGAAGATGTCGTGAGTAGCGAGGGGAAAAACGTCACTCATGTCTAACTCACTCTTTGAAAATGCCTCTTTGTTTGTTAGGTATTAGTAAAGTAGGTTATGTGTAATTATAGATGAATACTCACATATTGGATGTGAATCCAAATAAGTTTGCTCAAACAAAAAATTGGAAAACAATTGCATTACTTTGTTTGTGTAAACTCATTTCCTGGAAAATGTATTTTGTTGGTAAACCTGTATTGCCAAGTTCTAACAAAATGGAAAATTTTGCCCTATTTGTATTACAGTTTAACAAGTGCCATACATTTCGCAGACTTTATTAGAAAGTAAATTAATAAAAGAAAACAGATAATGAAAAGTAAATATAATAGAACACTATTTTTAAGATACAAAGTATATAGTGAGGACTTAAATATTATATAAATATACATGAGATAAGCACTTCAGCTGTAAATGCCATAACTTTTACTGGTTAATTCTCTTAAGTTTAAAGTACATGCTGCTATATAAATGAAGATTTTTTTCTAAGGAAAATTTTTGTTCCTGTTTGTGGGACTCTAAGGAAAATAGTTTTTACCAACTTCACTGAAGTTGTGTCTGACAGTTACTTAAAAATTAGTTATTTAAAAATTAGTTAATGTATGCATTATACTAAATTCTCATTGAAATTACTCTTCCATTCTTGAGTTTGAATGAGAAATAGTATTCTTACAAAGCATTTTCAGTATTACTTGCTATGCAGCTAGATTATTTGAAGAGGTCACTTTTGAAGTAAGGGGTGCTCAGGGAAAATGTAAAGTAAAAGTAATAATGTACCATCTCCCTTATTTTAGCATGTGTATTTTATTTGCCACAGGACACATATGGAAAGATACTCGATATAGAAAAACATAAAAATCAGTTGCAAGCCAAAGGTCTGTTTTCAGAAAAAGATAAAACCACGTAAGTTCTTTTCTTCTATTAAAATAGATGAAAAATTTGAACTAACATGCCACTTATCATTGGTGTTTTTAAAGCATACCTTAAGCCTAAAAATTGGTTCAGTATTTCAGCATTTATCATTAAAGTTAGAGGTCAAAATAGTAGGTGATTGTTTTGTTTGTTTGTTTGTTTGTTTGAGAGAAAGTAAATATTAAGATTATATTCTTATGGTACTTCTTTCCATATTTATATACTAAATGGTATTTAATAACTATACTTGAGTATGGCAGCCTCAGAATTTTTGTGTATATAGCTACACACTTAAATGTTACATGCTTTAAATTTTTTTTAGTATTTTAAGGTTTGAGCTTTCATTTAGCAAACAGTGATAGATTAGATCCATCATCCTGAGCAACCATTTTTACATTTCGGCCTGGTTATTGACATACTTATCCTTATGCACAAGACACAAATCTTTGAGCATATCTTGTTGAGGTTGTAAATACCACGCCTGGCCCTTCTTTTGGATGTGTTACTACTTCAGCCCATTGGCAGATTCACAGTGCACTCAAAGCATCTTCTGTGAAGTAAATTATGAAAAACAAGTGAACTTTTAATTTTTAAGAAATATGATGGCTTTAATTATCAAATTAATTTCACAGTGGCATGTTAACTCTTCAAACAAAACATTTGCTAGCTTGAGTATCTTTCCTAGAGTAGATTGAGGAAGTGAAAAATTATATCTGAAAATTAGTTTACTTGGGTGAAATTTTACAGCTATATAGTACAAAAATTTGTTTCCCAATCAAGAATTGCTACTACATGTGGGATCCTTTGTGATATAACTCTAATTGCATGGTTAATTTAAAAGAGAATCTATGTGATATTTTAACAGAGACCTGATTGGCAGCAGATGGCTGATTAAGGAGGAACTAGAAGAAATGTTGGTGGAAAAACTGTCAGATCAAGATGTGAGTAATTACTCTGTAAAAAATCAATAAAAAAATATCCTCAATGAGGATTAACAACAAAAAAAAGTGAGTAATTAATCATTTTACTTTAAGGGCACCTGTGCCCTAACAATGCAGACAATATTGTATTTAGAACCCTAATAGTGATGTTCCTCAGAGGTAGTTGTTCCTAAGACCGTTTTCCTTTGATAAACATATTTATAGTTGATTTCTGCCATGGGTCAGGACCTTGCCTGTGGTCAGGAAGGTGACATGCTTGGTCTCCAGACCCTCCTTGTGTACGTGCCCTCGTGTCCTCTGCTTGTCATTCTAGGGAAGCCTGGTCTGTTGATGCCAGTTTTGTCTCAGTAAAGCAGGTAGCTCATTTTATAAGCTCATGATAAGTGTAAGGTGCTGTTACAGGGAAAGTAGGAAAGGAGTGAAGCCCGTGGTGACCTTCATACAATTTCCTGCTTTTTGGCTGACCTATGTGCAGTATCTCGAGGCCACTACTTTTCATGCTGGATCTGGAGAACCCCTGTGACAGAATCATTTGGAATGCTGCTTACAAAATGCAGTCCTCATATTCAGACGTAGCTCGGGATTTCTAGGGGAGTCACCCGGAATCAATACTTTTAGCAAGCTTCCAGGTGAATGCTATCCTATTGCTTTTGACTCCTGCTTTAGGTCGCAGTCAGATTGTTTACAAAATGTCCTAATATATGCCAGTATCATCAGAGGAAATTTGATGTTTTACATATTTTTATATTCTAAATTTAGATTATTTTTGGAAGATTTCAGTGTAGATTAATTTCAAAATTGTTCCAAGAGTGTTTTTTCTTACCTGGCAGTGGCTAACAGTGGTGTGCCTTGCCACCAAGTAGATTTTAAGTCATGGACTGACAGTGCCCTTCTTCTCATTGAACATATTGGATAAATTAACGAATTAGAACGTTGCTTAACCAAGGTGTCGGGCATTCGGTGAGTGAGTGGTAGGTCTGGAGGTAATGTCCACCTGACTGCCAAGTCGGTGTTGTTGAACTCGGATCTCAATAGGAAATCTCCCTTTGCTTCTCCATGGAACACGGCACTTCATGGTTTCCTGTTTCTGGTTGCTTTGATTTTCATACTGCAGGGTTGTGTTTTTTATTTTGAAAACATCTCAGACTTTATACAGGTGTGCATAGATGTGTATGTCTTCTATCCTTTTGGGGAGTGGCTATCAGCTGAAGTCTGGTATCAAGAAGAAGGAGGCAGGAACAGTCAGTGGCTTCCTAAACTTCTTAGCTCATGAGCATGACTATGTTACCCCCTTGGTAGGTTCACCAGTAGTCACACTGTGTGCAGTGGAATTGAGAGAATCGCTGAGGACCAAGGATATAGGCCTGTAGTTGGAGGGAAGAATGGAGCTTTATCAGGCCAGCATCACTGGAGGCTGAGTGCTTCACCCTCACTCGGAAAATGGCCTTCTCTTATTGTAACATCACAGGGAGCAGGAATGGAAGCAGTGCTTTTGATCTTACCAGTGAGATTCTTCTATAATTCAGGTTACCAATAGCAGATTTTCACACTAAAGGCAATGGTAACAAAGACGACTGTGACTTTTAGGGTTGGCAAAAACATAAATAAGATGATCAGAATTGGTTTCATACTACACATACCTGAGGATCTCAAGTATTAGTTGTTTCCTTCTGCAAAAACACTTTAGAATGATTATTCTGACTTCTAATTTTAAGGGGTTAATACCAAGTTGTTTACTTTCTAATCACATGTTCAAGAACTATTAAAAAAAATGCACAGAGTAGCAAGGATAATTTATTTCAAGAGGTTGCCCTTTAAGTCAAGTATCTCTTGAATTTTCAAATAGCTTGATTGTTCGGTTTTAAAGGAAATCATAAACATTAAAGTAACACAGCTTGAACAGCTAAAGATATATTTGCCAAGTGTATTATGAAATATAATTTAAGAGTACATTTTCTCAAAATCAAACTCTTCCCATTTTACTACACATAACTTACTGGAAATTATTTATGAAGCCCCTCTAAATACGGTTCTAATAAGAACTAGAAATTACTCTTGAAGATCATCTAAATATTTTTTTGAAAATGAATTTAAATCTCAATTTCACGTCTTCAAAATATGGAGACGTTGACTTCTTTGAATGACATATTCTTTGTTTCTCAAAGAAGTGAGTGAGCCCTGAAGATCCACGGGTAAGTGCTGCGTCTCTGCACGCTGCGTTAAAAGCAGCATGAAGGTGCCCACGTGTCATCCTGTCAAAACCATCATGAAAGCAACATTGGAAAGATCGAGTCTATCAAAATAGAAAAAATTTAGCAAATGCAATTACACTTGCATCTTCTAATGAGGTTGTATTGTGTGCAGTACGCGCAGTTCGTGCGGCTGATGGAGAGGCTGCTGCAGGGCGGTGCTGCCGGAGAGTTTGTGCAGAGCTTCCGCAGGAGTGTCACTGTGCAGTCAGAGAAGCAGCCGATTGAGCCCGTGCAGCATGACGCGCAGGGAATGGCCTTCAGCACCAGCGAAGGTAATGGCGCTCCACGGAGAGAAGGGAGCTCCATGACGGCTGTGAATCTACAGGCATTTTTATTTGCTGTTGCTCTCTGGGACTCATTCGATTGGTTTGTTTGTTTATTTTTGCTATTGCTACCTTGGAATTCCTCATTTTTAAGATTCTATTGAAATTTTAAAAAGCAAGACCTTATAATGTCCTAAGAAAAAATGTGGACACATTCCTACACAGTCATATTAACCCTTTTTTATTTTCACATATTTTTGTTAAATCTTTTTATTTTTACACTTTCAACTGGTAGAAACACTAAAACATTTATAATAAAGGTTTCTTATAAAAAAATGAAAGTGCCCATCAGTCTGCATATCAGAAGCTAAAACTATGAGACTTGAGAACTTTAGGCCCTCACTCACCTTCTCCTTGTAGGTGTGCAGACATTTGACATGGTGTGACTTTTAAAAATTAACGTACTAGCCTGGCTGGCATGGCTCAGTGGTTGAGCATCAACCTATGAACCAGGAGGTCACAGTTCGATTCCCGGCCATGGCACAAGTCCAGGTCGCCAGCTCAATTCCTAGTGGGGTGTGCAGGAGGCAGCCAATCAGTGATTCTCTCTCATCATTGATGTTTCTTTCTCCCTCTCCCTTCCTCTCTGAAATCAATAAAAATATATATTTTTTAAATTAAAGTATTAAATGATATACCTGCAACTCTTACAAATTTAACATCTTGCCTCGTCATTACTTTCATTTCTATCAATTATATCTTATACTTTTCAAATATTTAAAAATTATATGATTAAATATATTCTTATTGAATATAAAAGAACACTGTAAATTGGTTGATTTTTTAAAGTAATATAAATAAATATGAATTACTTCATATTTAACTAACTTAAAGTCATTGTAGTGTTCAAAATTACTACATAATAAGCTCTATTACATTGATTATGGCATAGTTTACCTGTTTATTTTTGGTTGACTTGTATAGTAGTTGTAGAGTTTCCTGTGTAGTGCTATATATTGTTATTTGGAAGAAAAAATTTTAATGTGACTTTATTGTCTCAAAGCCCTGCTCTTTCAGATTTTTACTATTAGAAATTTTATCTTTTTAAAGGCAGAAGAAAGAGTGCCAAAGCAGAGGCAGTTGTTTATGAACATGGAAATGGAAGAATAAAAATTAATGGCATCGATTACCTGCTTTACTTCCCTGTGCTACAGGACAGGTTAGTGTCTGCTTTTGCTTTTGCTTTTTGTTTTTAAAGAAAATATATTTCATCATGATTAATTCATTAAGGCTTGTGATTTTTCTGATTGCATTTGTCTTTGCTAATGATTTTCTTTTTTTACTAATATAATTTATCAGACTAGCTAGAGGGAAGCTATCACTCTTTTGTAATATTTTTCCACAGATATCTCTTACATTCTGAAATGCAGACTGTGCCAAAATGTAAGAAAAGTAGATTTCCACTTTCTGTTTCCCTTGTTTAGGGGTGGGCATAAACAACAACAAAAATCAGCCATGGCCATCATGCATATTAGAAAAAGTCTGCTCTGTCACTTCAGATTTTTTCCTATTCAGAGGAAATAAATTATATGTATACTAGAGGACCAGTGTACAAAATTCATGCACGGTAGGGTCCGTAGGCCTGGCCGGCAATCAGGGCTGATCGGGGTCTTCTGGCTGCCAGCTGGGGCCTCCCTTCCCCAGCTGCCAGGGCCTTCCTTCCTTCTGGGCCGCCCCCTGGTGGTCAGTGCACGTCGTAGCGAGCAATTGGTCTCCCAGTTGAAATCCCATGGGGACAATTTGCATATTCGTGCACTGGGCCTCTAGTATATATAGATTGAGCAACCACTTCCACCTTAAATAAGAGCCCATGAGGCTTGGCTGCACCCCAGTGCTAAGTATGGCAGTTTTCTTTTCGAGCTTTGTATCCCATGGGAAACAGACACGAATCACATGAATCATTAGTGGGTGTTACAGTTCAGAGCCTCCACATGTGCTCCTCTCAGGTCTCTGAACTCCTGCAAAGGCCTGTTCTTGAGACTGTTATTGTCTTTCCAGTATTTACTGTCATCCACAAGGAACAGAGCTCTGCATGATTGCTCCTCCTTTCCTAACCCTCCTCCTGCTTCTTGAATGGGGAGAGGTTTTGAGGTCAGTGCAGTAGGGAAAGGGGACCTGCTGATGCAGTGTAAGCTCCTGGGCAGAGTAATTTCTTCAGGAGATGTATGTTAAATCATCATAAATGAACAGGCAAATATCGGTCAAATGTTATTCCTCCTAGCAGTCCCCAGTGCTGAAGTGATGGGTCTCTCTGGCTTTTCATGAAGAGAAAAAGAACTTCCTCATCTGTTCCCCTGCGAGGATGATGGCAGAATTAGTTTAATTCACATTAAATGGAGTCAGAGCAGACACAGACACACCACAATTAAAATATATTCTTAGAACTTATTCATTTAGAATTCAACAGACTTTTAATAAGGATTGTCTGAGTCGAGGCTTGTTCTGGATAGTGTGAAGATTTTACAGCTATCTAAGATCTTATTTCTGTCATTAGGAAACTCTGTTGGGAAACCTACAGCTAAGCTAGTCATGGTGGGAATGGGTGGCTAAACCACCTCATCTGTAAGTAGCTGGAGGGCTCCCGGCGGCCACACTGGCATGGACTGCCTCTCCTCCTGACGGAGCAGCCCAGGAGCTTGCAGGTCAGCAGTGAGGGTGCTGGCCAGGGCAGGACCACTGAACCGGAGGAGGGTGAGCTTGATGCTTCCCAGCTGCAGGACCTTAGCCAAGGTGCTGATCATAAGATAATGCTGAAGTTGGTTGTACTGCTTGCTTTCTAGGGCCTTTCTTTAGGCTGCCTTTACACAAACAGCAGCAGATCACTGGGAAGGTTGATCCTGCTGCCTTCCCAGCAGCCTCAGGAATTTTTTATTCATTCATCCACTCACACAACCACCGTTTATTACAATATTCGTGGCACTGTGGAATGCAAAGATCAATACCTTTCCGATTTGGAAAGGCCTTTGCTCTGTCATTCAACCAATAAAGCAGCTCTAAGTGATCATCACTCTGTACTGAGGAGTGCATTCCTCACAGGACATGAGCCATGTAGACAAGGAGATACACTTAGCGGCTCAGGCAGTTATCCTCCTATATAACAAAAGCCTAATATGCAAATTGTCCCCTCGACCAGGAGTTCAACTAGGGGGCAGGGCCAGTTGGCCAACCACCCAGAGCTCCTCCCCCCAGCCTGCCCGGCCCAATCAGCCCTGATCAGGGCAGGCCAGCCGAACCACACCTGTGCACGAATTCATGCACCTGGCCTTTAGGAGAGAAATAACGGACTATGCAATTATATGTATTTTAAGTTACATGCTAATAGAATTGATGCCCTAGAAGTAGTGTTCAGAGAAGATAGAAATGAGAAAGTTGTGGGGCTTTTTTTTTTTTTTTTTTTTCCAGAATAACTTTTATTATATAACAAGGAACAAAATAAATTTGATTCTTTTAACTCAGGATTTTATCTGGGATTCCTGAGTAGAGAGATGAATTGTGAAATATTTTCAAGCCATGTACCAGTTTGTAGTCAGATTAATTTAAATCAATAGCTATATAATTACTTTTTATTATTACCCTTTGGGTATTTTTTCATCTACTTATAAATTTAGGATTGTGCCTCAGTATATACCAATTTCTCAACTATCTAGATTCTTCTTAATGGTTCTTTCTTACCTGGACTACTCTAGTGATATATCTTGAGTAAATTATAGTATTTTTTCCAAGAAAAAGAGAAATAAACCTTCCTCTTAGCAAAACATTCTAAATATCAGAAATATCAGTGGCCCTGGCCTATGTGGCTCAGGTATTTGGAGTGTTGTCCTGTACCCCGAAAGGTTGCAGGTTCAACTCCCAGTCAGGGCATGTACACGAGGTAACCAATTGATGTTTCTCACATCAGTGTTTCTCTCTCTCACCCCCTCTACCTTCCTCTCGAAACATCTCCTCCGGTGAGGATTTTTAAAAGAGAAAAGAAAAAGAAAATCCCTAATGGGTGTGGCTCAGTTGGCTCAATTGGTTGGGTATTGTCCCATGTACCAAAAAGTTGCTGGTTAAGTTCCAGCTCAGGGCATGTGCCTGGGTTGCAGGCTTAATCCCCAGGAGGGAGTATGCCCGAGGCAGCTGATCAATGTTTCTCTCTCATCCATGTTTCTCTTTCTCCCCTCCCCCTTCCTCCCCCTCTCTCTCTAAAAATCAATAAAAATATATTTTAAAAAGAAATATTAGTGTTTCTTCACAATGGATTGATTAAAAAGGATGAAAATACAGCAATGGCTTCATCCAGAAGTATGAACACTTAGTGCACAATATGGCTTTTGTAAATGGTCAGAATGTGAACCGTTTATAAAGTCATGTGCTGTAGTGAACTTAACCACATTTCTGGTGCTGTGCTTTAGAGAACAGTTGATGTTCCCTTTTCACTTCCTGGACCGATTGGGAAAGCACGATGTGACCTGCACCGTCTCCGGGGGCGGGAGGTCGGCGCAGGCTGGAGCCATACGCTTGGCAATGGCCAGAGCTTTGTGCAGTTTTGTCACTGAGGAAGAGGTCGAGTGGATGAGACAAGGTATGCATTGCTGGGGGAGGGAAGTGTTTCTTTTATTCTTGTGCTACTTACCTGAACTCAGTGAGAAAACAATTCACTGTGCAATATTGCAATTCGTTGCCTTCTCTTTTCCTGCCCCAGAACTATAGCATTGTTACTCAGTTTTGATTTCTACAAAATGAACTTGAGTTGGGAAAAGAAAAGGGAGGCATTGCCAGCCAGCATCAGAGGAAATTTATTTGGATCTCAAGGCATAACCAGTTTATCCAGTGCTGCTCAGTTGTATTTAGCAGATGGATTGGTTGTTTTTGTTTTATCATGGAAAGTTATAGTAATTATTTCATTTAATGGTGAAGCCCTTAAGGTTATGTATTTCTTTCCAAAATTATTGGAGATTTCCATTTTTCCATGGTGATGTTAAGTTCGAATTTCATCTTTCTCGCTTCATGTAACCCACATAGTCGTGGATACAAGTGTGAGAATGAATATGCACTAGACTTGTTCGTTAGGGCCCTGCTTTGACATTTACAATCAATCAGGTGGCTCTGGTGGAAGATTTTCCTTACGCTGTTTGTGACAGTGCTGTGGGTGCAGCGGCTCCTCACTCACCACCTCCCCCAGCCCCTGGCTCCCGGAGCAGTGCTGCAGACAAGCGCCACCTACGGCTGAGCCTCGTTAAATGTGTCAGCCTCTTCACAATCCATTTGTTCATCAACAGTTCACCATTTTGTGACGTTCATATCTGGTCATTAAAATCATTTTATAGGATCTTAACAATTCTGCTAGTTTGAGTTACTGTGCATATTGAAAAGTAATAAAGCATTATCACTTATAATTCTCTGCATTTTGTTCAAAATATTTTTAATTCCCTGCCATTTAAATACAAGTAAATTGCAAAAGCTGTGGGTACATGATAAGCACTTGAAGTTTTTCTTTGCTGGACGGTCATTACAAGACCCCTCATGAAATACTTAAGCACGTACTAGTGTTGGAAGAGTTTAAAAAAAGACAAACAGTGAAACACTGTGGTCTGTTTATATATTTATAAACGCTTTCTTATTGCCGTAAGTTTTGAAATCTGTGGTCTTTGCTGATATACTGACTGCGTCCACGTCAGGTCCTCATTGGCCGTGCACTAGGAGCAGCTCCTTAATTGTGGGGGAAGCATATTGCTCCTGGAGACTAACTAGGAGCATGGAAGCCTTTAATTCACACAGACTGTTCTTCTGGGATAAACTGCTTATCGTGAGAATGCAACCCTAAAACTCACTCTGTAGATTCTGAAACAAAATACCAGGGATATTATGATGACATAAATTAGAATAAGATTTAAGATTTTTTTTCCTCAAATATGTTCAGTAAATCATATTTTAAGTATGTGTATATTCTTGTATACTAGTAATATCTGGTGTCCACATACCTCCTACTTCCCTGTGTAAGTGTTTCTTCTCTGCCTCTTGTGTTCAGTAAACTCGTTCGCTCACATCTGGAATGATGTGAGCAGGAGTTCCACTGCCATGCATAGCAATCTCCCACACAAGAGCAGCTTTCGCGTAAGTTAAACAGTTTTGAAAACCTGAAAGGAATCAGTCCTCACTCGATAAGGAAAGCAGACCAAATAATGTAGCTGGTGTTTGGGAAAATATCCTGAAAGAGTGCGTTTCCCATGGTTTATCTCAGCTTCTCTCTCTGTGCTGCAGCTGGACTGCTCACGTCTGATCCGCGCGTCCGCGAACGGAAGAAGCCGGGCCAGGAGGGAGCCCGCAGGAAGTTTACCTGGAAGAAGCGCTGAGTATTGCCAGGAAAGGAGGGGGCGCGTGCACCTGCGTGTGGCGAACACACATCAATAAGTGCTGGCCAGGGGGAAGGCCACAATCAGACACTGGGTTGTGAGAGCTTATTTTCAAATGCTACTTTTTTGCAAAGGTTACCTGCCCTAACTGGTTTGGCTCAGTGGATAGAGCGTCGGCCTGCGGACTGAAAGGTCCCAGGTTCGATTCCAGTCAAGGGCATGTACCTTGGTTGTGGGCACATCCCCAGTAGCAGGTGTGCAGGAGGCAGCTGATCGATGTTTCTCTCTCATCGATGTTTCTAACTCTCTATCCCTCTCCCTTCCTCTCCGTAAAAAATCAATAAAATATATTTTGAAAAATAAAAATGTTAGCTTCAGTCTGCTGCTTTTTTTTTGTAAACTTTTCCAGAGGTAGTTTTAGAAGAAGTATAAATTCATAGAATCTTGGCATATCGACCTGAGGGAACATTGAGCAAATCCCCATCGAGTAACCTCGTTTTGTGGACAAGAAAGCCCAGGCCCACTGAAGGTGAAGCGCATTGCAGTTCCTGGTGGGACTGGGCTTGAGCTCGCCTCTCCTGACTTGTTTGCCCGCAGGGCAGTGGCCCACAGTTTTCACACTGAGGGGCGAGCTTGTTCAGGAGCAGAGGGAAGCTAGGAGCTCAGGAGCAGAGACGCGAGCTGCCCAGAAGCTGTTGAAGGCAACACGCCAGTTTCCCCACCCCTCACCCCTGGCAGGACCATCCTCCTCTGCGTCTGACTTGTTTTTTTAATACGGTCTACATATAATTGATACCATGCAGGTTTTGTCTTTCTCTGTCTGGCTTATTTCACTTTGCACAATGCCCTCCAGGTTGGGTACAAACTTTCAGTTATAAGGCGAGTTAATGCTGAGGCTCTCATATACAGAATGGTCACTGTAGTTAATACTGCGTGGTATTGAAATTTGTTCCGAGGGTAGATCTTTAAGCCTCTCACACACAAAGAAAGGATAACTATGAAACGATGGGCGTGTGGATTAACTCGAGGGCCGGGGCTCCTTTCACAATTTATACCCATGTCAGACTGTCACACTGCACTTCAAATATGTTACCATTTTATCGGTTAACTGTCCTTCCATAAGGCTGGGAAACAGACAGTGAGCCCACCCCCGAGGCGGGAGCACTGGGGACAGCCAGAGGGCCACGGGACTGCAGGAGCAGGCACTGGTGAGGTAGGAGCTGCCGTGAGCAGCGTGAGGCGATGACAGCAGTGCCCGCTGGCCGCAGCCGGCACCTGCCCCTCAGTGTGGCTACTCCCCACAGTGTCCTGGTGTGGACGTCAGGCACATGGTCACTTGTAGCTTTAGGAGATGTGTGAAACATTGAACTACTTTCCAGAGTGTTCTGTATGTGGGGGTTTTTGCTGGCCTCTTGTCGATTCATTGCTTTTACATATGCCCAGAACCACTGGCTTAAGGAGGGTTTTTTTGTTGTGTGTGTGTGTTTTGTTTTGTTTTGTTTTTTAAGGAAAATAAGCCTGGTTTTTGGGTGCAACAGTGACTCCAGCAGGGAAAGCAGAGCAGGTGTGGGTAGGACGCTGTGATGAGAGGGCCTGCACCCGGCAGGAGTGGCGAGCAAGGGCCTTGGTAATGGCCTTTATCTTAAGCTGGCATGTGGGCGTCCACTTCGTTATACCCTCCCCGTGGGGTATATACGGTCTTTATTATGTGCTGTTGTAGGATACACAAAAATAAAAGGCCTTCCCGCGGACCACACGGAGGTTCAGAGCAGTCTCTGGAGGCCATGGGCAGGCTGACCTCCCTGCACCTTGACTGCTCACATGAAGTGGGGAGAATGGCAGCGCCTCTCCAAGGCTGACAAGCGTCCCGTAAATGCAGGTGAGCAGCACAGCCCGCAGGAAGTGCTCTGTAAAGGTTGGTGTGGGTTCTCATAAAAATTTCCCTCCTTGTCCCTGTCATTTGGTTAAACAGAAGTGGACAGCAGTCAAGAGTTTGGCGAGGGAGGGAATACGATGGTGAACAGGCGGTTCCTGTGTTCTCTTCAGGTAGCACTGACTTCATTGACTGGACAGCAGCGAAACAAAGCATGATGGGAATGTGGTCATACTGTGATGTCATGGACCCAGTGTCTCCACATCTATTAGAATCTGTAGGTGGGCTTGATGCAGGGAGCCTCCCAGACCTGTGCCCAGCCTCTCACAGCCAGCAGACCACAGAGGCAGCGGCCAGCGGGGACTTACAGACACGACAAGGAGGGGTCAGTGCGCTGTCCCTCACAGATACTGGAGTCAGGTGCCGCCAGCAGAAAGGCCGTGGCACATTCCACAGAATTTGCATGCCAGAGACCAGAAGTAAGTCATCAGTAAATGGTCTTTCAGCATTGCCGCCACCTTTGGTGAATGACTGTGGGCTACAGAACTTTCTCTTATTCTGAGCCTTTGGTCAAAACACAATAAACTCATGGCTAAAAATTGAAAGTAGTATTTGAACACCATGCTATAGAAACTACTTCAACACTGAGCAAAATCTTATCAAAGAATTTCCAGAACCGACAGCCCTTGGCACACAGCTGTTCCCAGTGTTGACCCAAAAAGTCGAAACTGCTTCAAGGAGATAGTGAGCGCCGACCACAGGCAGTGTTTGGAGAGGCACGTGACGTGGATATTCGCAGCCAGTTCATTCTTTTCAACAGCCCCTCCGGCTTATCAGGCCCTTTTCCTCCTGAGAAGGCCATGCCCATTGACTCCCCTGGGTCTGCGCGCGAGCGGGATTTTCTCCCTGCAGCGTGGTTGCCTGGTCAGAGTTCGTTCTCTCTCCTAGGGCTGCTCCTCGATTTGCTTCCCTTCACCTTGACTTGCCTGCCAGACTGACGAAGGTTAGGTAGCTGTAGCTGTAGCCTGACAGCCTGGGAGGCTTTCTCTGTAGACATCTTTGCAAAAAAAAATGCCCACGCTAGAGACCATACGCAGTCAGCACTAGTCTCCTTTCAAAATGTTTTCAAAAATTGGAAATACAGGCAAATTCTAATCCACGGTGGAGTAACAGAATTGGCTGAAAGCAAAGGGCTCTTGCCCGGGGAGACATTACAGAGGGAGAATCCAAAGACAACAGCAGTGCCGAGGGCTCCACAGCCCCGAAGTCCACCCAGGGCCCGGTGCAGTGCACCACCAGGAAGAATTCCCGTGCAGTTTGTCACAATAGGACAGATTCAAAATGTTATGGTCAAGTTACTTAATTTCTGTGTTCTTGCTCCTACTCTAAAAATACTTATTTGAAAAGCATAGGGGATTAATCTTGTTCTTTATACTTTATACCTATATACAGTAGGTCCTCACTCAATGTCCTCAACAGGCTCCACAACTTTCAGCAAAATGGCATAGCAAACCCCTTGTTACACAGGCTAATTGCTATCAACCGGAGCTAAGTTCCTAGGGCACCTCATCACCATTATAATGAAATTACTGAACTTAACCTTATTTGAGGGCCTTGGTGGAAGCCTAACTGCCTGGGAGGCATCACTTCCCCTGTCTCGAAGCACCAGAACTCTCTCCCTCCTCTCTCCTCCCCACCAGCCCACTTCCGGCACTTGGGATCCAAGTGGAAGAATGGGTGGTACCCTGGGCCCAGGGCAGCGCACCACCACGGTCCTCCCTTGTCTCCACACGCTGCTTCTCCCAGACCCGTGGCTGGCAAACCCAGCTTGTGAGCCACATGCGGTTCTTTGGCCCCTTGAGTGTGGCTCTTCCACAAAATACCACGTGCGGGCGCGCACGTACAGTGCGATGAAACTTCGTGGCCCATGCGCAGAAGTCGGTATTTTGTGGAAGAGCCGGTACTTTACTGAGCCACGAGCAAGGTGCTGTTACTCGGCTCACAGAGCTCGGAACCCAGCAGACTGTTTAGGCACAGCCTAAGGCTTCAGTGCTGCAATGAGACGAGCAGTAACAGCCACGTACAGGGTGTAATAAGTAAATCTCCTATTTTCCTGAAGTTAGAAAAAGTAAATTTAAAATTTTAAGTACTGGACAGTTACATCACCTTCTATACTTTTAATCTAACCAGCAGAGCGACTCCTGGCCTTGCTATTAAAGTGGAGAGAACTCCCGAAGGAGTGCAGGGCCCACCGACATTTGTCCCTTCCGGGTGGACTTCTAGCCCACAAAACTAGGGCTGTTGTCAGCCACTAAGCTCGTGGCACAGCAGCCACAGGTGACTGACAGTGTGTGGAGCCTCTGTTATTGCCACTCCACCAGTCAGAAAGAGTGAGGCCGGGCTGGTGGAGAACAGCGTGCCAGCAGGGTCCCAGGCTGCTGTTCAGATGCATCAGGCAAGGACGTCTGGAAAAGGTCTGTGTACACTGACCTGCCCAAAGAAGCAGGGAGACAGCCTTCTCTGAGGGCTTTTCTGTGGCTAGTGGCCCGTGGAAGAGCTTGTGGGTAATCTTACACCTCCCAATGTCTCCGTTCACATAAATACTTTTCTTTACATATATATTTTTTTCTTTGTAGACTACATGAATTTAATACAGGACAACATTTGAAATATAACATGTTTTCACAAAAACAAAAAAGTTGCAAATTTATATGTACCAAAACGTGAAGCACTATTGGCAATGGCGACAGTGATAGTGCAGTATTTGTGACATGGAGTATCAGAGAAAGCGTTTCCTGGCATCCTCCTGCAGCTGACCCATCACACCTTAGCCTGCTGACTTTAACTACAGTGGTCCTACTGTACTTCCCTAAGAGAATGCCCTCGCTTGTTGCCCCGAAATATGGGATGCTGGGGCATTATGTCAACAACTTCCTCTCAAGTGATTTGGGGGAAAGTCCTTGTACTGTTACTGCAGGTGATGGGAACAGAGGCACCAGGTGCTACACCAGTGGGCAGACCGACCTGGGTTCCACAACCTCGGTGCTGGGCTCTGGCTGGGAAGGAATTCAGAGCCAAGACCCAACTCTAAGAGAACAGTTATTTGGTAAATCACAGAAGCAGAAAAGGTAATTCCTAGAAGCAATGGGCTGAGGAAACAAGTTACAGCGGCAAAGGAAGGGCCCTTGGAGCTCGGGAGTGAGGGAGGCCAAGGTGACCCGCCTCCGGGAGCGGGAGGAGGAGGAAGGAGAAGGGAAAGGTGCGGCGTGCTCCTGGGAGGGAGAGGCACTGAGTCCTCGGTCCCAAGGGCTTTAGGGTGGAGACGCTGGGGGAGGTCCCAGGGAGATCGCAATAGAACAGTCAGCAGCTTTCCAGGTGTCCTTTCTGGGCTGG